ACGTTATGAGCCATCCTTGGATACACAAGGAATTTAAGGCCAGCCTGGGGTACATGAACCTCTGTCTCAAGATGAACAAGCAAAACCAACGAAATAAAAAGTGAGACTGGGAAGGTGGCTCGGTGGCTAAGAGCAGTGGTGCTTTCCCAGGGGACCCGGGTTCAGCTCTCAGCACTCACACGGTGGCTCACACCATCTACCGCTTTAGTTCCAAGAAAGATGACTCCCTTTTCTCACCTCCCGAGGCATCAGGCATGCATGAAGCGCACGGGCATACATGCAAGCAAGATACCCATACACATAAAATATTTCCTTTAACATTTAAAATCAAAACACCAAAAGCCAAAAACCAAAACCAAAGCAACCATCCCCATAAATTAAAATGATAAATTTAATGTTGGGTGTAATCTATATCCTCAAGATTCATTTGAAAAACCCTAAGAAATTACTGATATCCCACCCCCAAATCTCTTAGACTGATTTTAGTTGGTTTCGGTTGATTTTTAAGGTTCCTTCACAAATCTTCCATGGTCCAAGAAGGGATTCATAACCTTCAGGATATTGGTGATCTAGAGAGGAGCCATTGGGGAAGACTGGATGTGGTGGGTTACACTTTTAATGCCAGCACTCAGGAAGCAGCTTTTCTATTCTTGACTTTCCAGACTCCAGAGCTATAAGCCACATAATCCTCCATCATTATAAATCACCTCCTTGTGGAGCTTTGTATTTAGGGCCTAACATTGCCTTTGCCTTTGTGAAGTCTAAGCAGCTGCAGCTGCTCTACCTGCAGGAGGCCCTCCCAGCTGGGGCCAGGTGGTGGGGGTGGTGAGAGGGTCATTAGACCCTAGCATGGAACCACAGCGCCCCCATCCCCATGTTTCCAGCCATCATCTGCATGTGTTCTGAGAAATGCTAGAGCATGCAAGAGACAGGAGATTTATGGAAGAGACCCTGCCTATGCAGGCTCTGGGAGGTCATCGTTCATGCTAGGTTGGAATTGTGTTATGATGCAGCTATTTGGTGGTGGTAGAGGGCAGGCAATCACTCATCAGTAATCCCTCGCCCGTAAGCTCGTTGGTTCAGCAAACCAGAGGTGGATGACACCATTGATTTGGCCTTTCACTGGTGCTCTTTACATAGCCGTTTCTCTCATAGATGTTTGCGTGTGTCTCTCTAGGAAAGGTGAGGGCTCCTGTCCCATGCTTTCTCCACCATAACGGGTGGTAGCCATCAAACCATGAGCCAAAATAAGTCTTCCCTCCCTCTCTCCCTCCTTTCCTCCCTTCTTTAAGCTATTTATTTATTTATTTATTTATTTATTTATTTATTTATTGGTCAGGCATTTTGTCACGTCAACGGAAAACAATAACTTATAAAACGGCAGTGCAGACTTACCTGATCAGTCTTAACCAAGTCACACCGATAGAGCGCCTTAGCTGACCTGGTCCAGCATCCTGCCCATTTCAATCCAGACAAGACCTTGGAGCCTAGAAACATTTTCTTTCTCTTCTTTAACCTCTGTGACAGTTCTCAAAGGATGGTCCTACCTCAGCGGTGTCAGCATCGTGGGGAGCTTTTTAAAAATGCAAAATCACAGGCTCCAGCGCAGACAGCCTGAACCAGAAAATGGAGATGCCCCCCCCCCACACTGAGTAGCTTCAAAACCCCAACAGGGGATTCTAGTCCATGCTAATGACTGAGAATGGCTCCCCCACACTTCAGCTTCAAAATATTTTGGGGGCAATAATTTCTCTGTGATCCCTTTCAGTCACATAGAGATTACTTCCTGTTTCACATCTAAATTTATCTTCTCAAAGCTTTGAAGGGTGGAGGCCTCAGTCTTCAAAAGTGTAAGCTACTGTGCTTACATGCCTTTGTGGGTAACAGCCCAGGTGGGTCTCAGCAGAAGGGAAACCACGGAGGAGCTGAAGACACAGCTGGCATAGAGAAGGGGTCACCAGGGCAGGTTCTTGCTCTCCTCCCCTTGATTATTTAATCACTGGACAATCCAAGATTCGGTCCAAACAGGAGCACAGCATAGTCTGCCATGGTTAAGTTTTAAAGGTTAATTACAGGGTCTAAGGAGTTGGGAACACTGTTTAGTGGAGATGCGGAGAGTCTCATTTATTGGTCAAGATTAGTCCAGAAATTGTGTGAATAAAGAGCAAAAAAGGGTATAGGTCTCCGGGAGCTGAGAGCAGAGGAGGAATAAAAATGGCCCCAGATGACAGCGATTTAGAATTTGATGTTTATTTCAGGGGACTCAACAATTTTTATCAGGCTGTGATTTTTATCTTCTTTCTCTTGGCATTTGCCCAAGTTCACTGATGTCTACAGTATAGTAGATTTTAAAGCTCCCACACTGTCACCCCCTACCTTCCTCCCAAGGGAAGGATTTCCTTTTGGACTGAACTTGCACTTCGTAGCATCAAGCCAATGCCAGAATCTTCGTATGCTCTTACTTATGTGTGTTGTGTGTGTCAGTGTGTGGGTGCCTGCAGAGGCCAGGAAAGATCCTCAGGAATTGGAGTTACAGGACCTTGTGGACTACCTGATGTGGGTGCTGGAAACTAACTGTAGGTCTTCTGAAAGTGCAGCAAATACTCTGAACCATTTAGCCACCTCTGCAAGCCCATTTTTACACATTCTTTAAAGCTATGATGACTTTAGGTTGAGAAAATGGATTTTCTGTGCAGAAAATTTAGGAAGAATTTTATTGCTCAAAGTGATTTATATCCCTTAGATCGACAATATTAATCAAATTATGTCTTCCTTTTTCTGGGTATCACTTTACAATTTACTTCATGAATTATTTCTTTGTGCATTTAGATGTCCCTAAATTTTTATGGTAGATTCCACTAATTGTCCTCTGGGAGAAAACGTTTTAATTTAAAAAAATACAGATTTATTTTTGGAAGTAGCACTGAGTGTTCAGCGTTCTTCTGGTCCACCATCACCCGTCAGATTAGCTTAACCAGCAGTAACTCAGTTTCAGCCTAGCTGTCTCGGAGTTCTTCAACACAGACTGCCCAGTTCTGGTGACGTAAGTAGTTTAAAGTGCTTCAAACCTGTTTGCCTCAAAAATGTTTGGGAGCAAGGCTATCCCTAGAACAGAAAGCACAGACTAAAACAAAAAAGCCCAAATGCTCCCAGCATCCCTAATTTGTGATTGCGCTGTGTCAGGCTAAACACAGTGCGACAGCATGGACTCTAAGCTATGGCTGCAAACTTTGGGTTTTCACCCTCTTATGTTTCCTCCCATTGTGGTTAGTATTTGGGAGGGGCTTTCCGGGTGCACACTCTTCAGTTTGTTTCCAAAAATGTGCTGCATTGTTTTGCATGGGGTGTATTTCCTACCTTGTGATACTTAGGTCTCAGAGAGCTGATATACTGTATAGGCATAGTCACATGATCACAGTTGGTTGCAGTGGTGAGGGAGGGCATCTCTATCAACAAGGAACGTGGTAAAATGTAAACAGTGTAGAGTTTACCACTCGCCACACCCATTTGAAATGAGCAGTTTAGCAGCGTTAAGTATAAAGTATAAATGATTACTATCTCCCATGTTCTGCCAATAGATTAGTGAGAGCCAAGAGGAGGGCAGTTAAGTTTCTACCGTTTTCAAGCCTGCCCTGGGCTTTGCTTCTGCAATGCCCTGACCTGAGTCTTCTGTTCATGGGGAGGCTATGCCAACAGCTGGGTTCTCTCTGACCTGCACTACATGTGAATGTAGACTCCGTCGTAGTCTCATTCTTAAGCCAGGAACAGTGATGACGGCCTTCTCCACTCACCTGCCGCCAAGATTACACCCAGCGCTGACACTGTTGAGTGCAAACATTTCTGCTGTTTAAATCTAATGAGCCTCCATCACCCATGACAGTGAAAACCCCCATGACAGTGAACATGCCCATGACAGTGAAAACGCCCATGATGGATCCTTTGTGCTTCAAAGTGAGGGGAGGAGATGGGAACAGATCCAGGCAGATCATCATAGAGATTCACTACTATTGCCCAAAACCAATAAGGTGTTTTTTGTTTGTTTTTCAAGACAGGGTTTCTCTGTGTGGCTTTGAAACCTGTTCTGGAACTCACTCTGTAGACCAGGCTGGCCTCAAACTCACAGAGATCTGCCTGTCTCTGCCTCCAGAGTGCTGGGATTAAAGGCATGTGCCACCATTGCCCAGCACCAACAAGGTTTTCAATCATACATAAGACATCAAATTGTGGCATGCCTTTAGGTGATTTCTGTATTTTTCCAGCATAACAGCTATCGTTGGTCTTATACTGTTTGTTTTTTGTTTGTTTGTTTATTTTTTGTTTGGTTTTTCTTTTTTTATTAGGATTTATTTTTATTTATGTGTCTGTGTGAGTGTATGCTCTGTGTGTGTGTATGTGTGTGTGTGTGTGTGTGTGTGGTTCCTTCTCAAACACTGATAGCTCCCTAAAGCAAGAGACACCTAAGTAGCTGCAGCTTGTCCCAAGGATTCTGGCAGAATCTCTGCTCAGACATGTGATTGGTACCAAGCCTCAGCCAAGAATGTGTTCAGCAGGGGAGGGTATGACATCACTTCTGCCATCCTACACCAGCGTTCACAGACCTGCCCTGCCAGAAGACGAATATGAGCAGATAAGTTCCCCACGTACCAGTCCTAGCCCAAGATAAGGGAGCAAAGAGCAGCTAAGAATCAAGTGGATTTGCTCTAAGTGTTCAGATTAGTTAGCGATCAACTTAGTCTCTACCCCAAAACCTCTGATGCCTTTGGTCATGAGGACACCCACTCCTTTGTGAAGCTGAGAAAATAGCAAACAGGATTCCGGGAAGAGGGATGTAAAAAACATCTGTAATAAAACTACATTTCTAACTGTACTCAGTAGGAGGGAAGTCTCCCTACAGAAGAAATATTTTTCTTTTGCTTAAGCAGTGGTTCTCAGCCTACCTAATGCTGTGACCCTTTTAATACGGTTCCTCATGTTGTGCTGACTCCAATAATACAATTATTTTGCTGCTATTTCATAACTGTAATTTTGCTACTGTTATGAATCATAATGTACCTGATACGCAGGATATTTGATGTGAACCCCGAAAGGGTCACGATCCACAGGTTGGGCACTGCTGATTTATAGCATCAGAAAAAGAGATCACTGAAACCTCTTTTCTTATATTCTATATTGCTTTACTTGGGATGGTGCTAAATGTTTTACCTTTTTATTTTATTTTTTTACAAACTTACAGTTTTTAATGTAATAAAAATGTATAGACCTTACATTTCCTCTTCAAAATCTTACTTCTATCTTTACTCTAAGTAAACAGGAAAATTCAGAGCAAATATCCTGGCTAAATCGGACTTAATTCCATGTTTTCTTTGTTTGTTTTACTGATTTTTGTGAATCCATGCCCTTCAAAATCTGTTATTAAAACAAAAATTCTAGTATCTGTAGGCTGATGAGATGATTGACAAAGCAAATGTGGTCAGACCTAATATATACATATTAATATATATATCTTTCAGCTTCATACATTCATTTTACTTTCATCAGAATATAAATTGCACAAAGTGATGGGTTTCATTATAACATTTCCATAATGCTTACATGTATGCTGCCCTGCTCACCTGTTCTATTTTGTATTCTTATTCCTTCACCTCTCATATCCTGTCCTACTTCCCTGCCCACCTGTTCTAGCTTATGGTGATAAACACCATGATCAAAACAATCTGGGGAGGAAAGGGTTTGTTTTGTCTTATAGTTTACAGTCTATCACTGAGGGAAGTCGGGGTAGGAACTTGAAGTAGGAACCTGGAGGCAAGAACTGGAGCAGAGGCCATGAAGAATGCTGCTTACCAGTTTGCTTCCAATGCTGGACTAGCCTGCTTTTGTATAGGGCATAGGACCACCTTCTCTGGAGGGGACGCCGCCCGGAGTGGGCTGCTGCTCCTTCATTGACCATTAATGAAGAACGTACTTACAGGCCAGTCGCATGGAGGCACTTCCTCAATTGAGGGTCCTTTTATCCCAGATGACCCTAGCTGGTACCAAGTTGACAAAAAATCCACTATCCCCAATTCTACATGTGATAGAAAATACATGATGCTTGTTGCATTGCTTCTTTTCTAGTCGCTGTGATCAAAGAGCAGGCGAGAAGCAACCTGACTGAGGGATTACAGTGTGAGAGGACACAGCCCATCACAGTGAGGAAAGGCATGGCATCTGTAGGTGAGGCAGCTGGTCACGTGACATCTGCAGTGGGGGTGGGGGGTGAGGGGATGGTGAGGGGGGGGAGCAGCAGGGAAGCAGCAGGGAGGATGATAATGAATGTGCTGCTTAGCTAGCCTTCTCCTGTTCATTCATCCCAGGACCCTGGTTCCCAGAATGACGCTGCCCACATTCAGGTTCGTTTTCCAGCCTCAGTCAAACCTTCTGGAAATACCCTCGCCCACAGCCAGAGGTGTTTTTCTGCAGTGAGTTCTCAGTCCGTTCAAGCTGACAGTGATTAACGATCATCACACTTGACTTTCTGAGACTGGCTTATCTTGCACAACGATCTCCAGTTCCATCCATTTTCCTGTAAGCAACATAATTTTAATTTCTTGAATGGGTGATTGAATAGTGTAGGGATAAGCCCTCCCCTTGGGGGCGGGCTGCCCTCAGGCGTATGTTTACTGATATAGTGCGCGGGCAGAGGCTGCGCGGGCCCTTCCGCTTGCTCTCCTGTTTCCGCTGGCTACCCCGCTGGAACCTTGGTTTTGTGAGTCTGGTTTTGTTATTAAATTTGTTTAAATATCAATTACTGGTGATTTATTGATCCGACCGCTGCAGAATAGTCCATTGTGCAAACATGCCACGTTTTCTTTATCCACTCATCTGTTGAGGAGCATGTAGGCTGATTCCTAATTAGCTCATTGTGAATTCTACTGCAGCAAACATGGGTTTGCAGATATCTATAGTATTACATTTTTTTTTTTAGGAGATAAATACTAGGAGTTCAAGGAATTGGTCTTGAAATAAAAGTAAGCCTCAGAGTGAGTTTCAACTGTCTCACATAAGAACTCTCTTTCCTAACCACTTCATATTGCTCTATTGTGTTGGGCCATTTGTTCATTTTTGACTTTATCCTCTCCTGTTTTGTGTGTGTGACATTCCTTTACTGTTATTGTTTTTAGTACATCTGTTTGTTTATGTATTTACTGTGTATATGTGCATGTGCCTCAGCACACATAGCGGTGGAGGACAACCTGTGGGAATTGGTCCTTCCTTTCTAGCAAGTGAGTCCCGGCATGGGACTGAGGTTGTCAAGCTTGGTGATAAGTGCCTTTACCCACTGAGCCATCTCAATGGCCCGATTTGTTTATTTGTCCCTATTATTAAGTTCTTTCTCTTTCTCTGGAACAGACCTTAGACTGAGAAGACCCAGGGATTTGGTTTTCTCTGTCCTGTCCCATGCCACGGGTGTGTTTGCAAAAGAGCGGTGTTACTTCAGGGCCTTTCGACTTTCAATATTTTTCTTCTCCTGTGTAGATAAAACTGAAGAACTGAACCCTCCAGCTGTGCAAGCCTGACATTTAATAGCTTCAGATTGTGGCTTTTTGTCTTGTGAACCTCTTCTGTCAATAACAGGGAGGCACACACTGTAACTTGCACCGTCGCGTTGCTTTTGAGGAGCACAGTGCTCACCACAGAGGGAGGTTTCGGTCGTGTCCCTTTCAAAGTCACCCACTTAGAGGTGCTAATTTTAGCCACGTCTGTCTCACAAGAGGTTTCCTTCTAACTAGTCAGTTTCCAGGTATCAAGCATTAAAATATTTTTGTAGTGAGGCAAGAAGACTTAAAAAAGGATGTCTCTGGATTTTCCATGTCCTTTCTTGGGTCTAAACAAAATTCAAAGAAACGCTCATATCAAAACTTCTTTGAAACAGGAATAATTACTGACAAACTGCAGGACTAGGACCTGGGAGCACTTTCTATGGTTTCTCATGATCATTTTCGTTCATTTGTTTGTTCATTAATTAATTAATTAATTTAGAGATCGTGTGTTTCTATGTAGCCCTGACTGGCCCAAAACTCATTATATAGATCATGCTGGCCCCAAACTCACAGAGATCTGCTAATCTATCTGCTAATCTCTACCTCCTAACTGCTGGGATTAAAGGTATGTTGCTACCATGCCTGACTGTTTTTCAGACAAGGTCTCATATAGCCTAGGCTGGCATTAAACGCATTGTATTGCTGAGAATGGCCTCAAATTCCTCAGGGGAGGGGGAACTCCTGTCTTTTGTGTCTTCTGCTCAGAGAATTTCAGAGCGAGACTCAGTGTCATTTCTAAAGGAACAACACGTGAAATCTTATTTTCATCTCCCTCCCTGGGGGTTTCCTTATCATGACTTCCAAATGCCTAATTCCTTCGATATGATTGCTGTCCTCAGAGGAGAGCAATTAAATCAAGGTCCTGCACAGACTGTGCTGAGAGCTGTCCTCCAGCAGCAGTCAGCGAAGGCTCATCTGGATCTCAACTCCCTAGGGCTGTGTTTCATCAAGTCCCTTTGCCAGGGCCTCTCAGGCAAGCAGTGTCAACAAGTGTCGCACCTACTGCAGAAAACGGCCCTCAAGTTTCATCACAGTGATGAAAAAAAAATATTCTCCAGCTTCAGCCGTGACCTAGTTCATTCAAGGGCAGGCAAAACATTCTCTCCTTCCAGAACTTGCTTGGATGCGGACTTTTCCCTCCTAGGAAGACATGAGTTTTTCTGAAACAGACCCAACTGCGCTTTGATTTGTTTGTGGATGAGACCCTGAATCTGAGTCCCTGTCAGGGGACAAGGACATAAAGACGTCCAATCAATGCTTCACATACAGCCAGGGGACCCCGACAGCAAGCCAGCCCTCCAATAACATCTCTTGGATAAACAGAATTGAAAAGTAAGTATGGAGACTTTCAGTTTTTAACAAGGATTGGCTGTCCTTTAAATATCACCGTTGACATTTTCTATAACAGAGAACAAAGGCAGGCTGTCTCCTTCTGAGACAGACCGAGGCTGGAGGGGATATTGCGGTGTATCAGGCTTTAATGTGGCCAAATGTTCAAGGTCTTGTGTCAAGTCGCCTCTGACCTCTATGAAACTTGGGAACATTTTAAAATGTTTGTTTATTTTGGCTTGCCAGTGATTAAAATCATTCCTTTCACACCACCCCTGTCTTAACAGTTAGAACAACAAACATAAAAAAAGACCCAAAGGACCGACTTGTAAATGAAGATCATGTCCACTGAAAACTTGAGGAATCAAGGCAAATATTTACTTGATACTAGCCCCGGGCATTTGGATATTTTGTTCAAATATTATTCTTTTTGCTTGGGATTTTCTGAATGATTAGAAAATGTTAGCTTTCTAGGTGGGCAGCTTTCTTGTGCAATAATAGCTCAAGTTGCTGGAAAATCAGTGGGTATTTAAAAATGACCTATATAGACATTCACTGTCACTAAAACAGTTTAAAAAAAAAATCTCGAGATTAAAAAGTCAGCCCAAAAGGGAAATCAATTAAAAAAAAAAAGGATTCGTCATCATGTTACATTTTAGTAAAGTTTAATAAATACATTTAAACTTCAGAACTTCCAATTAAGGGTGTCAGTTACAGGCGTCTGACAGCCATTTAAAAATAGATCCAAGCAAGCCCAGCGTTTCACCTGCTTCTGCTCAGATTATCCCCTTTCCACAACTTCCTCCTCGTGCAAAGGTAGCCTTCTTTCAGTCAAGCCGGAACAGTGCTCTAAAGGCATGTAGTCTGATTAGACCAGCAGGCCAGGTAAGGGGAACGAGCGAGAGTTATGTGCTCTAGGGTTCTGCACTTAACCAAGAATCTGAGCAACCTTCTGTAGCAGCCATTCAATACATCTTATATTAAAACCTGCTGATGGCCAATAAGCAGCTGCAGATACTGGAAGTCAGGATTTAAATACATTTTAAGTCTCAAAGTAATACTGTCCTTTTCAAGTGTTTATCAAACACGGGATCAGAATTTGGGGGCATTTTTAGTAGAGTGGAGTTAGTATTCATAACAGGTTTTGAACAGCCCTGTGCACACTTATGCATAGATATTAGCATACGCAGGGAGAATGTGCCTGAGAGTTTCCTGATCTGTACGGCGCCGAGGAAGTCTTCAAGAAGAAAGGACGGGATCCAAAGCTCAATTTGGGATCTGCCTCTAACTCCTGCCCAGTTTTCTCACCTGTAAAATGAAGATAGCATCCATTTTAACAGGATTGATAGAGGATGGGTTGAATCAAACACCTGCAGTATCCATGGCACCATAGTTTCTCAACAAAAGTAGGCTGTCTTTATTAAAAAGTAGTTTTTTTTTTGCCGTTAAAAAGTCTCTCCCGCAGTACTTCAGGATATGATCACAGGAACTATACAAGTAATAGGAAAAATACTTCTTATTGATAGTGGCACAATGAAAAAAATTAGATACTTCAAGAAAAACTCTGTACTTGAAAACAATATGTCAAAACAACAACTTTTAAAAAGGATTCTACCTTAGAATATTTTGATGATTAATAAGAGAAAATATGATTTTTTAACTGAAGATCATATGCCTTTTTTGAGAGATTTTTTAGATTGATTTTATTGAGCTATATATTTTTCTCTGCTCCCCTCCCTTCCTCTCCCTTCCCCTTCAGTCCTCTCCCAAGGTTCCCATGCTCCCAGTTTACTCAGGAGATCTTGTCTTTTTCTAATTCCCATGTAGATTAGATCCATGTATGTCTCTCTTAGGGTCCTCATTGTTATCTAGGTTCTCTGGGATTGTAAACTATAGGCTATTTTTTTTTCTTTATGTCTAAAAAAATCACTTTTGAGTGAGTACATTTGATATTTGTCTTTCTGGGTCTGGTTTACCTCACTCAATATGATGTTTTCTAGATTCATCCATTTGCCTGCAAATTTCAAGATGTCATTATTCTTTTCTGCTGTGTAGTACTCCATTGTGTAAATGTACCACATTTTCCTTATCCATTCTTTGATTGAGGGGCATTCAGGTTGTTTCCAGGTTCTGGCTATGACAAACAAAGCTGCTATGAACATAGTTGAGCACATACCCTTGTGGTACGATTGAACATCCTTTTGGGTATATATCCAGAAGAGTTATTTCTGGGTCTTGAGGAATTTTGTTTGCTAATTTTCTGAGTAATAGCCATACTGACATCCAAAGGGGCTGTACCAGCTTGCACTCCCACCAGCAATGCAGGAGTGTTCCCTTTACCCCACAACCCATCCAGCATAAGTTGTCAGATGATATGTCTACTATCTTACAGGATAAGTAAAGATTTATCAACATCATTTCAGAATATTTTTAAACAATATCTATTAGTACCATGTCCAAGTGTTAGGATAACCACAGGAATAGAAGGTGGGGTAAATCTACATGTACAAGCCAATACCTGTGGTTATTGTGGAAACTACGTAAAGCCAGGCAGGAGCCTAGCTTTCCTCAAAAATTATAGTTTGTCTTCCCATTGATTAAACAGGCCACGTTGAGCATGGAAGGAGAGATAGGAATTCTCTAAGGAGACATGTAGTTGGTGGAGTAGGACAGACCCCACACCTGAAGAGGCCATCATGGAAGCAGGGTGGTTTCTGGTCTATGGAGGCTCACCGTAGACCAGCGCTATAAACTCGGTAGGAGCTAATGAGGCGCGGGAGTAGAGAGACAAGAATCTTGCCCAGGGCTCGTGGGACATCTGAATTGTCCCTTCCTTTTTTGAAGGAAGGGTTTTTCCCCAGACAGATAAGAATATCTTGATGAATTCTTTGCCTGAGTCACTGGAAGGTCACAAACAGTCCTGTGATTCTCAGCTTAAATCTGCCCAAAAAGAAAACTAGAAATGTACAATTATATAAGAAACGTGGGCGGGAGCAATTGTGCCGTCTGTGACTGGCAATAAAGAAAGAAAAGAACACTAAAGAATGGTTAGGGTTGGGGAAATAGTTTAGTCAGTAAGAGTCGGTAAGGTGCTTGCCTTCCAAGCATAAGGAAATGAGCCTAATTCTCAGAATTTACAATTAAAAAAAAAATCCAAGACAAACAAAAAACACAGGCATTATGGTGAGTGATGTCATCTTGATAAGGGTAGAGACAGACAGATCCTGGGGTTCAGCAGCCAGCCTAGCCTGCTAGGTGAGCTATAGGCTGATGAAAGTTAGTGTCTCGAAAACAAAATAAAACAAAAAACAAACAAAAAACCAAACAAAAGCTAGGGTCACTAAGAAGGTTCAGTGGGTAGAGGTACCAGGTAGGCAACCCGAGTTCAGACCCTGGGACCCACATCGTAGAATGCGAGAACTGATTACCGTGAGCGGTCGGTTGACGTCCACATCCATCTCATAGCACACACATGCCCACCACCACCCGCACACAAATATGTAAAAGTAAAAACATAGCGCCGACAAGAAATCAAAGCCAAGGTGGATGACATGTGGGGAACGACTACTGTTGTCTTAAGACCTGCACACATATTCTCATGTGTATATGCACAAGTACACCAGCTCACATGTACACACACATGCATAACACACATACACACACACATGCATACACACACAGAGTCTAGAACCCTTATTGGAGTTTCTTTAGATGCATACCTAATCAGGATGTCCTGGGCTTTGCGTCAAAACCTGGATGCCAAACTAACAGGACCCTCAGCTCTGGATAGCTCAGTCTGGGAACCATGCATTTACTACCCCAGAGCCAGACCCTCCATGGTTGCTATGGTTTCATCACAGGGCACAGAGCTCTCCTTGATCTTCACTTGATCTTCAACCTGCTCCTAGATGATCAGGGTCATCTACTCCTCAACCCATAGCTTAAAGCGTTCGTGGGTCTAGTTGTTCTTCCAATTCCAAGCACACTAGAATCCAGATAATATGTTAAATACCTGCTGTTAGAGTTCACTGAAGAACCTCTGGTTCTGAAGGTCCCACAGATTCTTGTGTTGTCCATATTCTCAGGTGATGCTGATTGTTGTGATGCAGAAACCACCTCAATAGAAGCAACTCTTTGGCTTGCAATTTCAAAAGACAAACCTTTTTTTTTTTGGCACATAGTTTTCAGTCATTGGATTTACTTTCTCAGATTTGCTAAGGTTATGGACATATTGTGTTAGAGCTTAAAATAATTCAAAGAAGATAGTCCAACCAGATACTCTGTAGGTAAAGAGTTCTCAGTCTAGTCGTGTGTGGGAGAGCAGTCCATCCTCTGGAAGGGAACTAGTTTTCTTCCAGTTGAGGGTATCAGGGAAGCCGTTAGAGGAAGCAAGCTCTTGTGTATAAGTGATTCTAACTGGGTGGGATTTGAATAGGCAGCTATGGAAGATGTGTAACAGAAGCAAGGAACAATCACAAGGGCAGAAAAGGAATAGTTACGGAATAAGATGAGTTTGGCTGTACTTCCCAGTTTCCCCAGTGCTCTCTTAGGGAAGCATTCACTGGGTAAACCATCCAGCCTTAAATCTGTTGCTTCTGTCTATAATTTGGTGATCTTCAGTCTGTTACTTCTGCCTAAAACTTGGTTGTTATGTGAGGTCCGACACAAAATCTGGAATGTAGAGTAGGAATTTCAGAAACCAGGGTAAAGGAGGAGGAGGTGTGGATACTCCAATATGTCTTTGAAAAATAAGACAAGATTAGCCTACCGACCATCGGAACAACATGGGATTTATTGCTCATACAGTGGAAGAAAAGTCTAGGAGATGGGTCAGGGCTCATCTTCTGTCTCTGCATTTCTGGAGGCTCAGCTTCTCTCTGTTTTGGTTTCAACCTCAAGCCAGCTTTCTCACAGTCTCAAGATAGATGCTTTCTGTCAAAAAAATTCACCCTGACATCCCCCCCCCCCATATCCCCAACCCACGCACACTTTCTCTTTTGTGCTGAGGGCAGAATGAATGGCCTAAGCTCGGCACGGTTTGGATTGCCTCCTGCACTACCTTCTGGACCACGCACACGTGATCGGCTCAGACTTGGTTACTGAACTGATCAGCACCCAGGAAAACCATGATCAGCTTAGACCAACCAGAGCTCACAGAGCATGCAAGGCGGGTCTGGCCACACCAAGTCACCAGGAAGATGAGCGGTGGGAGAATCCAGGGGACAGCAATTGGTGACACACTGAAACAATGTTTGGAGAAAGGCCTCTGAAAGCATCCCATTACTTCCCTTGGTTTAGAGTTAATAGTATGCCTTAAAGCAGTGATTCTCAACCTGTGGGGGTCACATATCAGATATCTACATCATGATTCATAACAATGGCAAAATGACAGTAGCAATGAAAATAATTTTATGGTTGGGGTACTACAACATGAGAAATCATATTAAAGGGTTGCAGTGTTAGGAAGGCTGAGAAAGCCTTTGGATGAGACTGTTTTAAAGTACAGCCCAGGCATATAAAATTATTTTTCCACACAGCAATATTAACTGTCAATGGAGAGTCCTTAGATGTAGTACTGTGCTCTGAAGAGCGCTAACTTCTATTTTAAAAGCATGTTTATTACATTTCATGTGTGTAAGGGTTTTGCCTGCATGTATGCATGTGCACCACAAGCATTCCTCGGGCCTGTGGAGGTCAGAAGAGGCATCAGATCCCTTGGAACTAGAGTTGCATATGGTTCTGAGTAGCTGTGAGGTGCCCAGCCATTTCTCCAGCCCCTGGAGCTCTTTACACATTTGTTTTAGGTGTGACATTCCTTATCCCCAATGCATTTCTTGCTTCCTCTGATAGTGCTGCCTCAAGAAAAACTGGAAGTTTCTAAAGGGCTTATGATTCAAGGTTTGCATAAGCCGGGCATGGTGGCATACACCGGCAATTCTGGCACTTAGGGTGTGGAGACAGGAGGTTACTTCTAGGTCATGTCTGTCACCGAGGGAGTCAGGGCAGACACTCAAGGTAGGAATCTAAAGACAGGATACCTTGCTGTCCCACACAGCATTACCTACAACCAGAGAACCATGGGAGATGCTGGTTAGTTGGCTCACTCTAAGCTCTTTACTAACTGAATTCCTCATAAATCTAATCATTGCTGTTATTCCTAACATATAACTTTAAATTGCTTCCCATTTCATAAATAATTCCTCCTGTTTAATTTAAATTGGAGTAGGGGTTGGTAGAGAGATGGCTCGGTGTTTAAAGGCACTGAATGCTCTCCAGGGAGACATGGGTTTGATTCCTAACACACACACAGTGGCTCACAGCCATCTGCAACTCCAGTTCCAGGGAGATCCAATGTCTTCTTCATCTGGCCTCCATGGGCATCTGCTATACAGTGTGGGCAGACAGACACACAGGCAAAAACCACCTGTATACATAAGAGATATTACAAAAAGAATAACTGAAAACAAAATATCTTCATGGCCTATGCCTGAATCTAAGGTAGGGGCTGGCAAATTCAAGGTCAGTCTGGGTCAGTCTGGGCTACATACATACATGCATACACAAGTAGGTAAATATGTAGATGATAGATAGGTAGACAGACAGACAGACAGACAGATAGATAAATCTGGAAAATAAGGCAAGTAGAAGCATTTTAAGACACTCTTCTCCTAATATACTTTGGCAAGGTTAGAGGCAGGTAGCAAGTGAGCGGGGAAGCCACCCCTCGCCATGTCACGTGTCCTGTCCATGCATGGCTGTTTTGCTCTCTGTCTCCATACTGACAGGGCCTTGGTTTTGGGTAATAAATTCAGGCTCAGTTCATTCTACCAAGAATCAGTCCTGCTCTTCAGTGTGTGGCAGTGAGCGAGTCTGAAGAGAAACTAATGTCCCAGGCTCTCCCCATGTCATCCCAAGTCCTAAATTCATCAGCATTTTCCTTCTCGGCCTTATTTAAGTAAATATTTCCCCAACAGGGTTGCCTTGGGGTTTGTTACAGTGGGTGTAGTAGCAGATTGGGTGGATGTGGTAAACAAGGGGAGCCAGACAGGAGGGCTTTTCTTTTACAGTGTTTCTTCTGGAGGGTCTTGTTGACGCAACTGGAGATTGTACGCAATGGTCTATGGCCCTCAGTTTTCAATCAATTAAGAATCGTTAACTCACAAGAGTTGATCTCATTAGCCACAGGACAATGTTCCACCTGTGCATGTATGCATGCATGTCTCGTGTGTGTGTGTGTGTGTGTGTGTGTGTGTGTGTGTGTATGGGTTTGTGTGTGAGTATGCTGTGTGTAAGTATGCTTGTGTGAGTGTGTTTGTGAGTGTGCCTCTCTGTGACTGTGCTTGTGAGAGAGACTGTTTGTGAGTGTGTGTATTTGTGTGTGTTATTGGGAATTGAATTTAGGGTTAGACAAGTACTCCATGACTGAGCGATAGCCTCATCCCTCTTTGTACTTTATACTTTATAGCAGGATCTCACCTTGCATCATCAGCTGACCTGGAACTTCCCATCCTCTCGCCTTGGGCTTGCCAGTAGGTGGACCATAGACGCGCACCACTAAGGTGAGTTTGCTCTGTGCACTGCGAGCCTTCCTCTCTTCCCTGTCTTCTTCCTGCAGAGGCCAGGATAAGATGGATGAATGTGTATCATTTGAATACATCAGTAAGCATATTCAAGAAGCCCAGATTCTTTCATTGAAAAGCTGTGTGACCTTGGGAAAGATACTTATCATGTCTGTGTTTCTCAATATGAAATTAGGGAAGATACTAAGCTCTGATATGTTTGACCTTAAGATATTTTAAAAATCCCTCCATTAAAGAATTAAAAATGAGTTTAAATGGCAGAGGAGAAGCGAGGAGAGGAGAGGGAAAGGAGGGGAGGGAAGAACCATTGGGAAAACTGTAGTTTACCGAAAATTAAAAAAAAAAAATACAGTTAAAAAAAGCTAGAGAAAGCAGCCACTCCAAGCCCAGCATCCACCCTGTCTTTAGCAGTGAACACACAAATACTGTAAAAGTTAAATTTTGTTATGTAAAACATGTAAATTCACTGTCCTTAAACAATATCATCATGTTCCCGAAAGTACTCAGGACAGCTTGCATACTACAGTTAGTGTATTTCTAACATATTAAATATACAAACAAGCACATCAGAACACATTCATATTTTATTACTCTGTGTGTGGGTGTGTCTTGGTGTGTGCCTGCCAATGCACATGGTGTGAGTAGAGGTCAGAGGGCAGCTTTGGTAGTTGTGCTTTCTACTTTTACCACGTGGGCTCTGAGTATCCAGCTCAGGTAGTCAGGCTTGGTGACAAGTCCCTTTATCCAGTGAATCATCTTATCCCCTTGTCGGCCTCAGTTTTTTTTTTTTTTTAATGAAGGGCTACCATACTTAATACTTCTATATTTCATTTTATTCAGTAATATATTTTGGAGATTACTTTGTGTCTGTGTCATACAGAACTGCCTTAATTCCTTTTTAATATGCATTGCTGTTAAAGGATTCCATCAAGGGCTAGGGATGTAGCTAAGTTTTTATTGTTTGTATATGTGTATGTATGTATGTGTATATGGGTATGTATATATGTGTGTATGTATGTGTGCATGCACGTATATGTGTGTGTGCATACATATGTGTTACATATGTATGTGTGCACATGTATGAATATGTGTTTATATGTATGTGAGTATACGTGTGTATATGTGCATATATGTGTGTATGTAGGTGTATATGTGTAATTGTATGTATGCATGTGTATATAAGTATGTAAGTATATGTCTGTATATGTATACATTAACCTATAAATATATATTTGTTGTCAATTAGTCTTCTTCCCACCAGTAGCCACTAACAGACCTTGTGTCCCTACTGTGTCCTTTGAATGTTTCCTATATAGAATCAAATACTGTAGGTCTTTGGGTCTGACTTCTTTTGCTGAGAATGATTTGAGAACGTTTTGAGGTTCATCCATGTCACACCATGAACATTCTTGTTCCTCTCATTACTCAGTTGTATGACTATTTGCCAGTTGGATATTCTGCTTGTTTCTAATCTTTGGTACTCTGAATATTTCTGCAAATGATGTTTGTGTGAAGCTTCTGTGTAGATGGATGTCTTCATTTCTCTTGGCAAGGATTTCTAGGTGTAGAACTGCTAGCTCATTAGGTAGATTCATGTTTAATTTTTTAAAAGAAGCTTAAATTGTTTTTCACAATGTCTTTACTGTTTTTACACTCCGCCGGGGAGGCTCAGGGGCTGCTTCTGTTCTTTGCACGTCCTTACTGATATGCAGCCCTCCTGGCAGGGGTGTGGTGGCATCTCACTGGGACTCTGATTTGGGTCTCCCTAATGACTAAGGATGCTGAGCATCTTTTTACAGGTTTGTTTTCTTGTCTTTATTTTCTGTGTACAACTTAGCACCCTACCCAAAAGAGAGCATGACATTCGAGTGCCCGCTCACCTGGGCCCGTATCACACACTGTGGTCCTGTCGCTTTCACAGCTGTCTGTGATGGACCAAAAAACCAGCAATAATAATAACAACAACAACCCTTACACCAAAGGACAAACAACAACATCCCCCCCAAACAACAACAACAAAAAAACACCACCAAACCAAACCACAATAACAACAACAGCAACAACAAAACCCCCAAAAGACGAAACAACAATAACAACAAAAATCTGGACTTTTGCAAGTGTTTGAAATGCCTTCAAGAACCTGCTTATAGACTCATACTTTCTTTCTACCAATTTGAGTAAAAGACATTATTTTTATAATTCTTCAGACATCAAGCCCAAAGCCACAAATATTAGACAATGCTTATACAGTGGTTCTTTTGCTATTCAGAAGACCTTTATAAAATGTGAATAGTGCTATATTTCCACCATCTCTACCCTTCCCTCCTCCCCTCCAACTCCTTCCATGCCTCACCACTCCCTCCCCACCGCAAGTCACAATCTCTTGTTTAATTATTTGTGTGTATGTGTGTAAAACCTCTCAGGTGCTCATCTCTAAACATGTACATTATATGTACTTTTAAAAGCATAAACATATATATTTAGAATCTATACAATTAAAAGCCTGTATCAGTTTTTAAAAAGTAAGAAACTTGCGCTGAATCATACAGGAAAAAAAGGAAATCAGGGAGAAATTGAAAATCTGATGTTCTTTTGGGCTAATATGCTTTTTTTTTTTAAGATTGATTTTGAAGCCCACCTATGACTTCCTCCACTAATGCCATTAATTCAGCATTAATTTGTCACCTCTAACGCCTTCGATGCCGTTTGTCATCTTTAGCATAGAACAATAAATGTGTCATTCTCACTTTCAGAGAAGCCACGAAACATGAACCACAGCCCGACTTAACTGTCCCTTCCCTTCAGGGAACAGTCAGTGCCCAGTGTCTGAGACTCGTGGCCGCTAACCCAGCCTTGTGAGTCAAACATACTGACAGTGCTTTCACGTGTGGGGCAGAACTGGCAGGAAGTGGTCACCTATGGAGGAGTTGCAGCTCACACACGGGGGATAGGAGGGTGGGGGGAGTTCCTCACCACCATTTCAGCTTTGTGAGCCCTTTCTTTCCATCCGACCCACAGCAGTGGTCCTAGGAATAAGAGTGGGAGGAAACTTGCTCTGCAAATTACTTTCCCAGTGAGGCTACTCCAGGAGCCATGTTTATCTGTTAATTGGCATATCACTTTACAAAACAGCAGCACTGCGGTAACCCACAGCACAAAAGGAAACTCGTGAAAAAGCAGTCTGAGAGCCTCCAGATCACTATTATATCAGCTGCCCACGTAACAGTCTTAAGAGGCAGCCAATGTGGTCTCTGAGCCTTCTTCTGTTACCATTCCCGGCTGACAGATGGGGAAATAGGTTTGATACTTGGCCCAGGTAAGCCATAGAGCAGCGTCTACATTGTTCCTGGTAGGCTAGGTTTGGTCCAGAAGCCTAGAATTTCTTCTGCTCAGGAGAGTATTTTCCAGCTGTGAGATCCCCCTGAATCACTGAGTAAGTCTTGTAGGAATGTGGAGAGTCAAGGTAGTCATCTTATTGCCCACAGTAGTTCCCAAGAAGTATTGCATACTGGCCTCCAAAGGTAATGACGTTCATCAGCATGTGTTACAATGCAGACAGACTCGACAATATTATGCTAAGTGGAAGATTCTGATTATATGAAGTGTTCAGTAGAGGCCAGCCTACATAGAACCTAACAGAAATAGAGCACAGTTTAGGGGTTGCTGAAGGCCGTGTGGACTAGGACTGGGCGTAGAGGTGGTGAGACGGGGAGATGTGAGGTTTCTTTTGGGGGTAATGGCGTATTCTAAAATTGATTGTGGTGATGATGGTTGCACAAACCAGTTATAACGAAAGTCATGGAGTCATAACTTTTCAGCGGGTGAAGTGTGTGGTGTATTAATTATCTCAGTACAGATGTGTCTAAACATTACCCTGGGTCAATAAGTCACAGCAGGTGTCCTTTCCAACTTGGAGTCACAGGTCTTTAGGTTTGCCAAACCTTGTTGCTTCCCTGCATGGAATTTGCTAGACTGTTGCAAAATACCATGAAAAAATGGGGCTCTGTGGAGGTAGCCCAGTACCAGGGAACTTCCTAGCATGTGCAGGCCCTGGGTTTGATCTCCAGCACTGCAAGGTGCAATTCAAGGTGAAAAAAAACAAAAGTGCCTTAGATTTGCCCTTACCATCATGTGTGTACCTCTGACTCTAACATTATCTTCTCAGTATTACTGAGCAATAGCAACTCCAACATCTTAAATACACCTTTAAATAAATAAGAAAAAAATATCACCAGATATGGTGGCACATACCTTTAATTCCAGCACTCAGGAGGCAGAGACAAGTGGATCTTTGGGAGTTCAAGACCAGCCTGGTCTACAGAGAGTATTCTAGGACAAACAGAGCTGTTACACAGAGAAACACTGTCTCAAAACAAACAAACAAATAAATCTCAACCCAGTTTTATAGTTCCGGCTTCTACGACCAACTTGAACCTCTAGTGAGGAACAACTAAACTGTAGTTGAAGAGCTGTTTCTTCTGCCTGTTCTGTAAAGGTGGGTCCTCCCAGCAGCTTGTGGATGACACATCCCCACTGACTTTTCCTGTTCTGTACTTATTCTGAACTATCATCACTGTAAGTCAACAATGCCCCTTGCCTCTCTGTCTCTATGTCTGTCTCTGTCTGTCTGTCTGTCTGTCTCTCTTCCTTCCCTCCTTCTTTCCTCTTTTTCTTATTTCTGTCTTTCTGTGTTAGGGATAAGGACCAGGGTCTCCCACGTGACAGGCAAGTATTCAACCATTGAGTGACACTTTTGCCTTCAACGTTTTTTAAAAAAGCATTTTCTTTCTCATAAAAGATGAGTTATAAGAATTTTCAAATTTTGAAAAGTTTTGAAACTTTTAAAGGTACTTCTTTCTGGTTGGGAAGCCTTTTCTGTGACACATTACTATGACCACTAAGAAATATGCACAGGCTCACATCTGTGGGTTTAACCACATTTAGATCAAAATTACTTTGGAATAAAATTGCATATGTGCTGAAAAAGTAGACTCTCCCCATCCCCGCTACTCCCTAAATGAGGCTTTCTAACTACTTTTTACATAGCATCTGTGGCATCCTGGGCACTGTAAGTCATCCAGAGATGGTTCAAAGAACAAGAGGATATGCATAGGTTATGTGCAAACACTTTATCATTTATATAAAAGACTTGAGCCTCCTTGGATCTTCGTATCTCAGGACGGTCCTGGTAACAATCCTATGTGAAAAGTGAGGATAGGCTAATAGGTAAGAATTAAATCTGGGCTTTATGGCAAAAGGTGTAGACTCCTCAGCCACCAAACGTGCTTGTAACCTAATCTAGAGTGGAGTGACAGGGGAATTCTCTTGCTGTTCCGTGGAAATAATCTGCCATGTACACTGAGATAGGTTCACCTGACTCTTATATGAGTTGAATATGATGGGTTACTCAGGGACTCCAGATGCTTCAGGCTCCCCACATCCATGTTTATAGAAGTTCTGTAACCCAAAATATCGGAAGTGTAGTCCCGTGTCTCTTAACAGCTTCCAAAAGGACTCACACTCAGAAGGTATCCTTTTTCAAACCTTCTTTTCCATTTCCCTTGACAGGTCCTAGCAGGCACCAGGCATGTCAAATTTCTCTTCCAGTCCAAGTGTTCATGGCTTTTCTTGCTTTTTGATGTTAACATGTACCACCTTCAGCCTTGCAGCGTTTTCTACCCACTAAGTAAATCTGGAACCTCAGGCTTAGTACATGGAGGGAAGATAATAGCAAGTTCTCTTAGATGCATGCCTATGCCTGGATGCGCAGAGAGTGAAGGGTTTCCATGCAGAGGCAATTTTGGACTCACCTTATTCTAAACCAAACAGAACATCTTAAAGGGAAGGAGACATTGCAAACCTCAACAATAGCTGGAGAGGCCTTAGAAGGCATTTGTGAGTGGTGGAACGTCCAGCCCTTATGAGCAGAATGTTCTGGAGTGTCTACTAGGAAGCGTCACACAGGAACCCAGATCTAGATCTAGATGCCAAAGTCAAGAGGGCCGCCACCACCCTAAATCCTTGGTCTTCCAGAGCTGAGTCCTGCCAACGAGGCAAGGGTCCTTCCACACTGTGAAGCCCCCTAGACTTGGTCTCCTCTCCTCACTTCTGCTCATCAAAGGTGGGGTGGGTGCCAAAGGAGGTGAGAGTAATCACAGAACATAGAGTGATGGCAGCCTTGCTTGTGTTTCAGATCACGTGGCATGAAAGGATGACGGACCCAAGCTGCCCCCGGAGGCACACGCTGTGTTTTCTATCAACCTTACTTTCCCAGAAGGTTCCGGAGAAGTCTGACGTCGTGCTTCGATGCATGATAGCTGGTAAGGACCCCTAGACTAGCCACCACTCCCCCTAGACTAGCCACCACTCCCCCTAGACTAGCTGCTTCTCAGACTAACTACTGCTCATCCTAGCCTAGCTGCTAGTCAACCTAGACTAACTACTCACTGCCCCATCCCCACCCCGTGCCTCTCTGCAGTTCAGGGTTTATTGGTCAAAGGCAATGAAAACTACATTTGAGAAAATCACCTTAGAAATTTATTCTGAGTAATCAGTGAAGCAACTCAATCCTCTGTGATGTTTTTTTCAAGTGACTTTCCTCACCTCATGCTGTGGTTCTTGGTTAGGCAGCCCCCTCACTGCTGATTTTCAAACACTCTACTCGTCACTTGCTGCGGCATCCAGGAACAACTTGAATAATTTCATGTCACCAACCTGGGCTCTTCTCACAGCGTTTAGCAATGTCTGTAGGTTGGCTAAATTTGCCCCAAATTTGCCTCCCACTGATGCCATCCTCAGTCAGGCATGCTGGCAAATAAGGAAGAATTTAAACCAAAGCAAGAGGTGCTCAGAGGAGGTAAGGCCAAAGATGGGAACTACCCCCGAATGGGAGCCTAGATCACTCAGAGCTGATGACTGGGTATTAGTGGCCCAATGGTAAAGGGGTTTCATTAAAGGTAAGGGGGCAGAGAGGTGACGCAGGTGATAAAAATACACTCAGCGTGAGCCTGACAGCCTGAGGATGTTCCCTGTGTCCCAACAAGGAGAGAGCTGACTCATGCAGACTTCCACAAATGTGTTATGGCACTCTCAAGACACACGTGCGCATGCACACCCACACCCATGCCCACAGAGACAGAGAAAGACAGAAAGACAGAAATGGAAAGATAGCGACAAAGAAACATTCACAAAGAGACACACAGAGACAGACAGAGAGAAAGAGACACATCTATGTATATATACACATATACACACACACACAAGGAGAGAGGAAGAGATACACACATGCACATACAGAAATAAAGAATAAAAACAGTAATTTGGCAGAGAGGTCAGTTTTTAAATCTATGTAGATGATTCTTTTCTTTCTTAGATTATATCGCTACCCTTGAAAACACGGAGCACTACACCCATGGTGTTTCCTTAGGGCAGGGAGAAATGGCTTACCCCCTTAGCTTCTCTTCCGAACTCAGAGGAGAAGCGTGGCTATAGAAATAACCGCCCTTTGCAGAAGTCAAGGTGAAACCTTGTCTTTGGTCTGGAGGCTGGTGTACCCGTCCACACTCAGTCTCTCCAGCTCCACAGCTGGCTTTCTCAGAGCTCAGACAGAAGGAGAGACCCAAGCTGACCCTGAATCTTCTGAGAGAACCTCCATAGCTCGGTCACTGGTCCTCACACATAGTAGCTAGATCATTTAGAATGGTTCAGGCAGTGACTCATAGAGAAGTTCAAAACAAGGGGAGGAATGTGGAGGAGTATTGCATCGTGGTAGAATGCGTAAGACCGTAGGTCCCATCCTTAGTGTTGGAAAACAAAGGGAGGAAGAAGTTTTAGGTGAGGTGTTCAGGAGAAAAGAGAACCTTCCAGAAGGTACAAGCTACAACTTCCCTATGCGCATCTCATTTCTGGCTGATGGTGTAGGCTCAGAAGATGCACAGGGAAAACCCTGGCTGCAATCAGGAAACTGGAGGAGAGCAATCAGCCCTGATCATTCTGAATAAAGGCCCTGGAGGTCAGAATGTTCCAGGTGCCAGCTCTCACATACTTTACATTCTTTCTCGGTGTGTGTGTGTGTGTGTGTGTGTGTGTGTGTGTGTGTGTGCGCGGCCCCACACACGGTACAAAAGGAGGAATTCAGCGCTTCCTAAGCAGGGGCAGGAGGAAGCTGGCTGAGTCGGGGGCTTGAGACAGGGAAGAAGGGGCAGAAATGAACCCTGACAGTTTCCTCTTCTGTTGGTTTCCAGGGAAGCGCCTCTTTACTCTAACATCTGCCCATAGGAAGTTGAGGCAAGCTGCTCCCGGGCTAGGGTACGTCCTTGCACGTGGGCCTGTGTTCTTGGTCTTGGGGGCAGCTATACACGCACCTACCTGGAGAAGAAGGTAGGAAAGCTCCCACATATGTGGCCTTGGCAAGCAGATGAGGAGCCGGACCCTGAGTATTCTAAGGTCCTGCTGGTACGGGTGTCTCTGACTCTTAGCATCCTGACCTCGTTTATCTCCCCACCTTTTCTATACAGCCTTAGAAGAATAGAGGCTTCTTGGGGCTTTCTGAGTTGCTTGTCAAAAATTACATGATTTAGAAACAAAGCCCAAGACTGGTCCTGGTATGGCTCTAGAATGGCATGTTGTTTTCCACCCCCTGAACTTTGCTTCCTGCACAGACAGCACATTTGGTAATTCTTGGTGGCAGACAGAGTAGTGAGAATCCTCTTTGGGACACACTGGAAACCTTGCCTAGGAACAGTAAAGGCAAAATTCCTGCTGTGTGGGTTAAACTTTTCCATTAACGGTTAGCATTCACAGCTTAGCTAATGGCCACCAGGGAAGAATGAAACCTTCCAAGGGAAAAGAGTCAGTGGGTCAGCTTTTGTGGTAGCATTATTCTAGAAGATTTATGCTCTAGACTTCTTCTTTCTTTAGGAAGAAAATGGAACTTTGCTCTTGTCCCATTGAAGCATCTAACCAGGCTCAGCCCTACTTAGCTTCCGAGATCAAAGGCAGTGGAGCATGTTCAGAATGGCATGGCCATAGGCACACTAGAATTTTTTCATTACATCTTATTTACTTCTGTGTGCATGCGCACACGTATGTGTGTGCAGGCATATTTACACTCGCATGTCATAGCTCACATGTAAGGTCAGAGGACAGTTCGTGGGAGTTGGTTCTTTCCTTCTATCATGTGGGTCCCAGGCTTGAAACTCAGATAATTAGGCTTAGTATCAAGTGCCTTTACCCACTGAGACACCTTGTAGGCCCATATAGAAATCACTTTGCTTTGTTCTTTCAGGTTCAGGTTTGAGCGCTATTACATATAATTTCCAATGAGCTTGGGGTGTAGCTCAGTGGCAGGACCCTTGCCTGGTTAGGGTTTCTGTTGCTGTAATAAAACACCATGACCAAAAACAAGCTGGGGAGGAAAGGTCTTATTTCACTTACACCTCTAAGGTCACACTCCATCTCATTGAGGGGAGTCAGGGTAGGAACTTCAAGGTGGAAACTGAAGGTAAGATGTCCCATGGAGGGGTGCTGCTTACTGGCTTGCTCTCTGTGGCTTGCTCAGCCTGCTTTCTTGTAGCACCTAGGACCACCAGCCCAGGCATGGTGCTACCCACAGTGAGCTGAGACTTCCCACATCCATCATCAATTACGAAAATGCCCACAGGTTTGCTCACAGGTTAAATCTGGTGTAGGCAGATTCTCTGAATTGATGTTCCCTCTTCCAAAATGAGTCTAGCTTGTGTCAAGTTGACATCAAACTAGCCAGCACTCTCAATAATTGCAATATTAAGAATTGCACCACACACATAAAAATTCAATTTTCTCAAAGGTAATGTGAGGAGCTCAAGAGATGGCTTAGAAGCTGCTCTTGCAGAGGACTGAAGCTTGATTTCCAGCATCCACACTGGGTGGCTCACAACTGTAACACCAGCTCCAGTGGAATCCTTCTGCCCTCCTGGGGCACTGACACTCATGTGCACACGTTCATGCACAGATACAGACATATAGCTAATAATAAAGATAAACCTTTAAAAGAAATGAAAGCAAAGTGATCTCTGTGTAAAATTAATGATCAAAGGTTTTGTTAACTCATTAGTGTCTATAAGAACTAGAGAATATTAAGCCTGGAAAGCTGCATATTTATAGGCATTTAAAAATGTCAGGACCACATACATGGGTTAGGTACAACCCTACTTACTACCCTATGGGGCAGCAAAACCTTACAATGTTATCTTTCTACTAGACCGATATTATTTGTACCTCTGTTGGGTAAAACCTACAAGATGACAAATGAGGTCACTGAATCTAGAAATTTTAGTCAGTCCGTTGCTGAGTTACTTCAGCCCCATGTGACATGGAAAATCAAATACCACCTATAGCTTTGTCTCTTAAATATTTTTTGAAAAATTGACCTTCTCTCTACTGTTCATATATTTTAAATTTTAATTCTATCTATCTGTCTATCTAGCTATCTATCTATCTATCTATCTATCTATCTATCTATCTATCTATCTATCTTGTGGAATGGGGTAGGTACATGCATACCACAGAATGCATTTGGAGATCAGAGGTCAGAGGCCAGCTTATGGGAGTCAGCTCTATCCTTCCATCACGTGGGATCCAGGAAGCAAACTCGGCCATCAGACTTTAGTGGCCAGAGCCTTTATCTGAAGAGTCATCTCCCTGACCATCGACCATAGTTTTGGAGACTTGTTTTATTTTGGATAATTAAAAAAATATTTTCTTATGATTAGAGACAGTGTTTTTATTCTGCATTTCATTAACATATCCCATTGTGCTCGTGCCTAGGTCTTCTTCTTAATTCCCATTTATAGCTTTACAACTTAAATATTCTATCCCCCCCCCTCAGGTCAGCCCAAGCCAGAGGTGACTTGGTACAAGAATGGTGAAGCCATAGAGGAGGGAGGCAGTGTTTCCAGCTATGAGTTCTTTGAGAACCAGTATATTCATTTGCTCCATCTCTCATGGTAAGCAGCGTGGCTTTTGTGTACTATTCACTAACATTCTGTCTTCTGTGCTTTGCTGGCTACTGTGAGATCAGGCTGAAAGATTTCCTTCTGAGGTCCTGATCTTAGATGTTACTGGCAGGCAACAGTCAAAGCATCCGGCAGGGACTAAAGTGGTCCCTCTATATGAATGGATTATCTGAAGATTTAATCACCCATGGGTTGAAAATATTTTTTAAAAATTCTCACTGGGTTGAGTGACAGCTGTATGGCTTGGTCTATTTGTGGGGCCCCTGGCAGTGGTACTAGGCTTTATCCCTGGTGTATGAACTGGCATTTTGGAGCCCATTCCCTATGGTGGGATGCCTTGCTCAGCCTTGATGCAGTGGGGAAGGACTTGGTTCTGCCTCCACTTAGTTCTGCTTAGTTGACACCTCATGGGAGGCCTCACCCTCTCTGAGGACTGGATGGGGGATGGGAGAAGGTGATGGCAGCAGAAGGAAGGGAGGGAGGGGGGAAGGAGGGGGGAATGGTGGTTGGTATGTAAAAACAATAAAAAGAGAGAGAACTCTCATTGGGACTGGACATACTTATCTTCTTCATTCCTTAGATCCGTGATTATTAACCCTTTGGGGCTGAGCAACCCTTTCACAGGGGTTGCCTAAGACCATTGGAAAACAGATATTCACATTATGATTCATTACAGTAGCAAAATTACAGTTATGAAGTAGCAGTGAAAATAATTTTATGATTAAGGGTCATCACAACATGAGGAACTATTTTAAAAGGTCAAAGCATTAGGAAGGTCGAGAACCACTGACCTAGACTAGATAGTACACTAGTAATTTTTGTATAATTTACATCGTATTAGGCATTGGAATTAACATAGGGGTGATTTGTACAAATACTATGTCCTGTTATATAGGAAAGAGACTTGAGCATCCTCAGGCTTGGCTGTCCTGGAACGGAGATCTCCCTAGGATACTAAAAGGAAACTATATTCATTGTGCTCAGGAACTTTTTAACCTTCTCTAGTTTGCCATTGATAGAGTTAAATTTTATCTAGAATGATTCCCCTTTATTAGATGAGTTTTTCATCTACTCTTGTTCTCTCTGGGAAGTTAAGAAAGCAGGACAAGATTTCAGCACTGTTATCCAACCTTCCATATTGGATGGAGATAGATGTGACAGATCAAGGAAGCAGAGCAGCCAGCCACCAGAGACTTCTTACCTCTACAAAATCTCAGGCTGAATGGGCAAGATCCTGTCTACAAATCCTCAGACTGAATGCAATTCTGTCTCCCCCCTCCTTATATCCCTCTCTGCCCAGCCATATTTCTTCCTGTCTCCACCTCCTTAGTGCTGGAATTAAAGGCATGTGAATCTCAAGTACTGGGATTAAAGGTGTATGCTACCATTGCCTGGCCTCTGTGGTTAACAAGTGACTTAGCTCCACACTCTGATCTTCAGGCCAGCTTTATTTGCTAGATCACAAACAAAATATCACCATATTCTCACTGTGTGGCCCTGGCTGATCTGGAACTCTATGCAGAACAGACTGACCTCAAACTCACAGAGATCCCCCTGCCTCTGTCTCTGCCTTCAGAGTGCTAGGATTAAAAGTGTGCACCACACCACCTAAAGGATGCTTCTGCAACCGATTAAAACTGGCATTGTGGAGCTAAGAAAGAAAGCTAGTTTGGAGCAACAGCACTTTTCTTCTCTGTTCTTTTCTTGTTGGAAACAAAATATCACTAACGTGTCTGATCAAGACCTCATTGGTTAGAAATAAAGATGACTGAATCTCATTATGTCTTGGCTAAGCGGCTACGGTTTTCATCCAAGGCTGGAAAGCATTTTGTGAATTCTGTGTTCTGTGTGCTTAAGTAGGTCTAACAAGTCTTAAGGATGACTGGTAGAACTTCCCAGCACCTACACGGCCTCCGTTCCCAGCATGGTGCTTCCCTGACATTCTTCCTGAATGAATTCAGAAGCTGTGCCTCATATCCATTTACTCTTGCCATGCCTGGAGTCCGACTTGAATGGGTTCTGAGGGTCTGACGAGAATCTCCCATTTAGTCTCCTGGGTGATAGATCCCTTTGAAGAATTCGCTGTCCATCATCACTTCCCAGTTGTGACTTCAGTAGGTGAATACCTCAGAGAATGATCATAGGTCAGCCCTTAGCACATTTACTCAGCTCTTCCCGGAGACAGATGGTTGGTAGCTCTTCTCACGATGATGCTAATCCTTTAGGACAAACCTTGTGAGTCTTGGCGGTAGGTGACATATTGATTCAGGAGCCCCTTTTCAGACCTTGGTACAACCAGAGAAAGATCACTGTCTCTTACAAGGTCCTCCCATTGACGTCTCCTGAGGACTGAGAGTGGATCGGGAGTGTTAGGGACATTCTTGGTCCCCTCTGTCATGAGAGTCACAGCCCAGAGCTTCTGAGGGTTGAAAAGATGTAGAGTCAGAAACCACAGCATTCTAGCACTTAAGAGTGTTTGGCCAACATCCACCAAGACTCTTAGTAAGAGGGCATGGCATGATTGCGGCTGAGCTGAAACCAAACCAGGCCTGTGGGTTGGCAGGACTGTAGAGACTGGAACAGGACTGAGGAGAAAGCTATGTGGGTGCGCAGCACTGTGGGGACAGAGGCAGGATGGAGGACAGGGTCCATTTGTCAACAAGTGTCTTGGTAATGAGGCACCTCAGACAATTATTTTCCCCCTCATGGCTTACATTTGATGACATCTCAGCAAAGCCTGCAGCCCTTCTCTGTTGCACATTAGGGCCCAGAAGCTTCTCCTTGCCTCTTCTGGTTTGTAATAAACCCTCACTCTGTGGCAGAACTGTCACCTTTTGCCTCTATTTAATTTGGCACTGGGCTTTATCACCCTGACTTCCTGCCTTGCCCTCTCCCATGTACTGGCTCCCTTGTCTGTCTCTGAGTTCTATAAAACTGGGTCAGTTGCAGAACCTCCTGCCCCAGAACATAAAACCAGACTCAGTGGGACCTCTGCTGAATAGGAAGGCGAGAGCTCTGGACCTTTTCAGAACCCTTTCCATAACATGCCACACATAAACCTAGAGATTGAGTGGCTTGGGAGAGGGATTTGAATGAGGGATGGTCTGACAGATGCTGCTTATTTATTTATTTATACATTTATTTATTTATGTTTATTTGTTTGTTTTTCAAGACAAGGTTTCTCTGTGTAGCTTTGGAGTCTGTCCTGGAACTTGCTCTGTAGGCCAAGCTGGCCTTGAACTCACAGAGATCCACCTTCTTCTGCCTCCTGAGTGCTTGGATTAAAGGAGTGCACCACCACTGCCCCACTTGATGCTGCTTATTTTAATCAGCTTGGGCTACTCAATAAAATGCCATATATGGAATGGCCTAAACACACAAATGTGTTTCTTATTATTCTGGAAGTTGGGAATTTCAAGATTAGTGTGTGCTCTAGTCAAGGTCCTGGCCATTCTCTGGCTGCCCCTGTCCTTGTCATCCTGCATCTCCTGGGCTGCTGCCCCAGCAGGTGGGTGTTCTTCCTCCAATCAGAGTTGCTGGTTACACTTAACCAGTCTCCTGCTAGCTGCCACACTGTCCCCCTGCTTATCTCTTTGCCTGCCAGCCGCTGCTCTGCCCTCATTTACCTAGCGGGTACCTGATGCCAACAAGGCTGACACACGAGATGCTTGGTCAGGAAGCTGAAACTGGTCACAGCAGGCACCAAAGCCCTGACAGAGCTACAGGCAAAGAGAAGCAATTAAGTTGGGATTGATTTCCCTCCTGCTCAGAGCAGGTCTGAGCCGGCTTTTTACAATCTTACCGCATTTGTCATCGTGGTTGTTATCATTATTATTAGTGGTGCTGGGGCTGGAATTCAGGGTCCCACACATTAGCTAAGTCAGATTAAGCGATGAGAGAGTTCTCTTTTCGGGTTTGTTCCTTCTTCTTCCCTAATTCCAGTAATTAGTTTTGATATTTATTTGCTTGTTTTCAAAGGCGACATGAATTCTGAACAGCTATGCGGTTCTTTACACATGGCTGTAGCTTGCAGGCTCTAACCTCCGGGATTCAGCCCAACTTGAGTAGTAAGCCAAGTGACATCTGGCAGTTTTCTGAAAAATCTAATAAGGGGGCTTTCACCTTTCTTGAGCTCATGGTGTCAACAGAGCTGGGAATGACTCTGACTTTGCTGATTGATTCCATCATCAGCATCAGCATCTCCGGCTATCATGGCAGAAAACCATCACCAACTCTAGACCTAGCCAATCCAAGCCTGAACTTTAACAAGACCTCAGGGGATAAGAATAGTTAAGCTTGAGAAGCCCATGAACTGAGGATTGTCCTGCTTTCCATGATACTGGGAGGCCAAACCACACGGATGCTCAGCCCCTCCCGCTCTCCAATTATACTTTTGTTGGTCAAATCCAATTGGTTTGGCCCTCTTGTTACACTTTAATCCCCATTGTGTATGTGTGTGTGTGATATGTGTAGGTCTATGTGTGTATTGTCCATGCGTGTGGGTATTCATGGGTCACAGCATGCATATGGAGGTCAGAAGACAACCTTTGTGCATTAGTCCTCAACTTTCCACCTTGTTTGAGACAATGCATAGGGCAGGTTAGACAGCCCATGGACTTCTGGAGCTTTCTCTCCCTCTCCATCCATCTTCCATCTTCCTGTAAGAGTATGCTGGGATTTCAGACATTTCTGTTGCTGTGTCTAGCTTTTATGTGAATTCTGGGGATCCAAGTTCAGGTGAGCAGGCTCATGCAGCAAACACTTTTACCCACTAAGTCATCTCTCCAGCCCCTACTTAAGTATGCTTTATAACTCAGCACGGGTCCGGAGAGATCACAGGACCCATGCGAAGTAACAAAGCTAATTAAAATCTAAGCTAGACTTGGAACCTAAACACTCTGTTTCCCAGGACCCCAGGCCCACGATATGGTTCACAAAAGCACATCTTATCAGTGCTTCCTGCAAAACAAAGTCTACTGACCTGTGGGCAG